AGCTGCGCTTTGGCGAGAAATGTTTAAAGGACTACAGCAGGCTTCAATTAAAATCCCGTCAACAGAAGCCCACCGAAACACTTCAGGAGCTCGCCACGGATGTTGAAAGGCTGTCACATCACGCCTTTTCGGAGTGCCCGACAGAAACATGAGAAATCCTGTCGCTGCAATATTTCATCGACGGCATCCGGGATCCTGAAATGCAGAAAGCTCTTCGAATGGCAGATGTAAAGGACATAAAAAGCGCTCTGTTGTACGCCATGAAGTTCGAGGCAGCCCATCAAGCAACTAGTAGAGATCGCTACCCAGTTAGAGCTGTGCGAGTCCATGAGCCAGTGGATCAACTGATGGCTCGTTTAGATGATTTAGCCAGACAAGTCGACGCTTTAATACGGAATAGGAGCGAGAAGAAAGTGGCTCTAAGGTGTTGGAGATCTGGTAGTGAAGGTCACCTAAGACGGAATTGCAGAACGCCCCAGGAATAATAATAAAACAGTACGAAAATAAAATAAAACTGCAGATAAAACAGATTTTTACCAGACAAGTCAATGGCTTGAGACGGAACAGAAGTGAAAAGAAACTAATTCTAAAGTGCTGGAACTGCGGAGTTGAAGGCCACATACGAAGAAACTGCAGAACACCCCGAGGTACGGAAAATAAGACCATTTCCCAGCAACGACGCAGTAAACAAATTAGTGACCATATCGAGGAAAGGAGGTTGCCAGATAATGAAAAACCTTGTTTTAAAGCGCTTAAAATTTATACAGTGAGTGGCAACAGTAACGGACTGTCCATTAATGGGAATATCGATGGAGTTCCTTGCAATATGATCATTGACACAGGAGCTAATGTTACCATCATTAGGAAAGATTTAGCTGAACAGTTTAAAGATAAACTTATTTGGACGCCATCCTGTGTTACCCTTCAGACTGCGTCTGGTGATAAGATCGATATAACTGGGAAGTTAAACGTAAGCATCACGTTTGGAAGTGCCGCCTACCATCACACGGCATATGTGGCGGATATCACAGATCCATGCATACTCGGATTGGACTTTTAAGGAAATACTATTTTTCTTTAGACTACTAGAGCCACAGTTGTGGAAATACCACTAGAGTATTTCCACAAGAGCTACTAGACATAGATCCAACAAAGGAGACAAGGTGTGGTTGTGGAACCCGATTCAACGAAAAGGACTGAGTCCTAAATTACAGTCACCTTCGGATGGTCCATATACAGTGCTGAACACGAATGACGTCGTGGTTCGGATCCGTGAGTCTTCAAAATCTTACGACAGGTTAGCTCATTACTATGGCCATAGTACATAATGTAAATAATTGTAAATAGTATAAGACCATGGTCCATTTTGTTTTTAAATGTGTATTTGATTTGTATTTGATAGCATTTGATTTGTTTTATGTATTGCATTTATTGTTCATGTTGTTTATTATTGTAATGTAATGCTTATTAATGCATTTATGCCATAGTTGTAAGTTTAGCTTCCTGTCCAGGGATTGTACTGCCCGGGACGTGCAGTCCTTGGGAAGGGGGCAGTGTTACGAATTTGGTATTTAAAAAGCTAATGTTAGTTCAATTATAAATTAAATGGTTTTATTTCTCGCGCAGTGCAGCGCGTGACGAATATTAAAAGAAAGCTAAGCCGGAAAATTGAAAATACAAGAGCGCGTGCATTAAATAAATAAATATCTCTTTTTTGATTTCGAGAAAGTACTGGAAAATTCTAGCGCGTGATTTTAAAATCTTATAAAAGGAGGAAAACATCTCAGTTTGTAGAGTTGATTAGTTTGTTGTTGTTTAGAAAACTACTCTTGTTGATTGTAGCGAATTCGCGGATTAGCGTTCGTTAGCTGTTTTGAATTACGTTCTATTGGACTATCGTTTCAATTCAGTAAAAAACAGATCATTCAAAATTCTAGATAAGCAAATGAAGAAAGGTTGCTTACCTTTATGATCCGCGTTCTTCGATTCTGGTCCGCCGCTTTTGTAGACTCCGATTTGGTTTCATACTCATCTAAAATTGGCACTGTTTTGTATGAATCACTTTATTTGACATTTGACATAAAAGAGGAAAAATATCTAAATCATTACACTATCGAAAATCACTTCTAACTACTTAGCATCATTGTTCTACATATCTAACAGCGTCATTAGTCTACTGCGTACACTTATCGTTGCCAGTTCTCAAAAAACAAACTTTCTTTTTCAATTCTCGTCGGTCTGGAGGCTCAACCCGTTCCCCAAAAGCGGAGCGTGCGTCGTTCGCGACACACTCCCCCCGATGAGTTTCACCAAGTTGAAACTCAGCCACAGTCTGGTTGAAAGTTCATGAGGTTTAATCGTTCAGGAGTTCGAATCACTCGTCCACATCTGGTTGTTTTGAGGGGATTCTGATTGAGTTCATCTGACTGATCTTTGTCAGTGGCACGAAACTCTGTAGATCCAATAGAAGTTGTAGGCTTATCACACATTTTTTGATCAGAATGCTTCTTTCTCAAACAGTCTCCTATATTATCCGTTTGTAAATGGACTTCCAACGGATAAATTCGTTGTATGGGTCGAAGGATTTCGCCACTTTTGGTGCGTAATTTTACTAAACGAACTACACCCATCATTTCCTGGGATGAGTGTTATAATTTTTCCTAGAGGCCACTTAATTTTTTCTTTTCTCAGGTGTTTCTATTAACACAATGTCTCCAACCGATAGTTTAACATATTTCTCTGTTTTTAAAAATATGGTTTTTCAGTTGTCCTAAGTATTCAGTTCTGAACCGTTTTCTTAGATCTTCTCTAACCTTCATCTGATATGCATACCTTTTTTGTAAGTATTTGGCATCAATAATATCTAGATCTGGAACGCCACTTTCTTTTAGATCACGAAAAAAACATTGCAGGTGTCAAGGGTTCCAGTTCCAAGTCCTCGGAAATATAAGTTAATGGTCTGCAATTTAAGATATTTTCGCAATCACAGAGGATCGTATAGAGTTCTTCATATTTCAGTGAGGCATTACCTAAAACTTTTCTGAGAATGTTTTTCATCAGGCCAATCATTCTTTCCCAAAATCCACCCCACCAGGGAGAAGCTGGTGGGATAAATTTCCACTTAATGCGGTTGACAACATGATTTTTAATAAGTTTATCCCAGTCAATCATTTTTAAGAGCGAATTTGTACCAATAAAATTACTACCGTTATCAGTGTAGACAATTTCAGGTCTTCCTCTGCGTGCTATAAAACGTCGGAAAGCCAATAAAAAGTTATCTGTTGACAAAGACGTTAAAAGTTCAAGATGAATTGCCCTGTATACAGCACATGTAAATAAAACGATCCACGTTTTCGATCCATTTTTTAAAAACAAAGGGCCAGCTAAGTCGATACCTGTCACTTCAAAAATAGAAGAATCTTTAACACGGTCCTTTGGCAAAGGTGCGGATTGTACCGTGGAGGGTCCTCGAATCAAATCTTCTACATTTAGTGCAGTTTTTCAACACTTTACGAATAGTTTTACGACTTTTCAAAATCCAGAAATTTTCTCGTAGCATTGCCATTAAAGTCTGAGTTCCGCAATGCATTTGTTGTTCATGTTTTTCCATAATCAGTTTAGAGACAACTGGATGTTCAGGAGGTAGGATTACAGGTGTTCTAAAATTTTCGAAGTCTTGTCTCATTAATATTCTTGACTTTACTCTTAAAAGACCAGATGAATCAACAAATGGTTTTAAATTTCGTAAGCGTTTATCCTTTTCTGTTTTAAAGGAGACCCTTTGCACAATTTTCCAAACAAGGACTTCAGCTGCATTCAATTCTTCGATTTCTAAGTTCTTTGACGTTGTTCTGTTTTTATCTCTGCAGTTATCAATATACCTTTTTATCCAGGCTGTAACTCTAATTATTTTCTCAAAAGAAGAAATTCGTGAGAAATGCGAAAATTCTTCATCTACATTTGTTAACGAGGATACAACTGTTTTTCTTCTTTCTCGATCAATCATATCTTTGTCAGGAGAAATATCACAAGTAGGCCAACAGTCTGGATTCAACTTCAACCATGCTGGACCTTCATGCCATCTTTTGGCTTTAATAGTTTCAACAGAACATCCTCTTGACGGAATATCCGCAGGATTCAAGTTGCCAGGAACATAATTCCATGCATCAGGATTAGTAAGAGCTCGTATTTCTTTCACTCTATTCATAACAAATACACCCCAATTTTCTTCATTCTTAATCCAGTACAATGTGTTCCTTGAATCTGTCCAATAAAACGTAGGTATATTTTCTTCCTTCAAATCTTGTTTTATAGATTTCATTAATCTTGCACCAACAACACAAGCTAATAATTCTAGTCTACAAATTGATGTGGGTTTTAGAGGAGCAACTCTAGATCGTGCTTGAACTAAATGACACGAAACTTTATTTTCATTTTCATTTCTTAAATAAACGCAGGTTGCATATGCCATTCGGGATGCATCACAAAATATATGAAAGGATAATTTCAATTCAGAATCAATATTAAGCATCATCTGTCGAGGAATTTTTATTTCTGTTAAACGATTTGCATCATTTTTCCATTTCATGTATTTCCTTTGAATTTCTTCAGGAAGAGCTTCATCCCAAGTTACTTTTAATTCCCAGCAGTTTTGTAACAGAATTTTAGGAATTAAAATTATAGGGCAGGTGAATCCAATAGGGTCATAAATTTTATGAATTTCAGACAAAATTGTTCTTTTAGTAACAGGTTTGTTTTTTGATTCATTTAATCCCTTAATATCACAACTTAATGTGTCATCATGCAAATTCCAAAGAAGTCCCAAAATGTTGACCGTTTTAGCTTCACAAGGATCATCGAAAAACTCATTCTCATTTAATTTATCAAGCTTCGACTGTTCTAAAATGGGTTCAACAACAAATGCATCCCTTTTATTTCGAGGATAGTTATATGCCCACTCTTGTAATTCAAATTTAGCACTTGCCAAAATTTCAGTGGCATCATTTTTTTAACTTCTTTAATTCTGATTCATCATTCACACTTGTAACTAAATTATCAACGTACCAGGATTCTACTAATTTATTAGCACTCGCACGATAATTTTCTGGTACTTCATTCATTAATTTCGTTAGTGTTGCATTTAAGAGAAATGGACTGCTGGTTATTCCAAAGACCACTCTTCTATGCCTGTATATTTTCAAACGCTCAGAATTTCCCTGTTCCCACCATAAAAATCTTAAATAATCTCTGTCTTTAGGATTAAGTGCTATCTGCAGAAAAGCCTTCTTAATATCAGCGCTAACGCCAATTTTTCCCAGTCGAAATCTATTTATTATAGCTGGAACAGTATCAATCAAATTTGGACCCTTTTCCAAACAGTCATTTACGGAGGGTGATCCTTTAGTTCTTACGGATCCATCGAAAACCGGTCTTATTTTTGTCGTGGTGGAATTCATTCGAATAACAGCACGATGGGGTAAATAATGAGAGGGGTTATTAACTTCTTCCTCAGGAACAATCTCTATTATTTTATCATCTTCCCAAGATTTAAAAATTGCGTTGTAATCTTCTAAAAATCCCCCATCCCTTAAATTCTTCACTGTACTCTTTAATCTCTTTTCTGCTATTTCTCGATAGTTTGGAAGTAGGGAACGATTTTCAATCCAAGGTAAACAAACTTGAAACCTTCCTTCTTCATCTCTTTTTCACATTGGAAAGAAAATGTGTCATTGTTTGTTTTTCTAATTCCCTTTTAGTTTGACTTTCTGAAGGGTCTAATATCCCAAGAGTATCAAGTTTCCATAAATCAGAAATTTTACTATCTGATACTAACATAGAAAATGCATAAGAACAATCATATTTATTTTCCATTTCTACGGGAATTTTCCCCATGATACTCCAGCCTAAATAAGTTTCAATGCAAACTAATCCACATTCTAACTTCTTTATTTTCCCTGTAAGCAATTTTCCCGCTATGTCTGCGCCTATGAGGATATGAATTTCAGAAGGAGAATGCTCGAACAACAATTTTTTATATGCCTACCTTCAACATCATTCAAAAATATGTTATGGGTTTTTAACTCATTTAAATAAGGCTTGATGTTCAATTGTGGAATATCAGAACAAATATTCGCTTGATCAAAAGCTTTGAAGTTACACTGATAATCGTTTTTGATACTACTTAAACGTACAACGAACTGTTTATGAGTTTCAACCACTTCAGTTCCTCCGAACAGACTATGAATCACACTGCTTTCGTTAATACATTCGTACTGCATAGCATTAGCTAAGAATTTAGATACATAGCTTCGTTGACTCCCAGAATCAATTAAACAGCGGCAGTATTTTTCTGGACCATTGCCACGCACTCTTACAACTAAAGTTTGTAATAAAACTTTCTCTAAACATGATTTGTTCGTCAAATTGAGATCCTTCTTATTTGATTTTTTCTCATCTAAACTATTTCTGTCACAGATTAAACTGTTGTGTTTCCACCCACATGAATCACACTTTATCTTCGAAAAGCAATTTTTTGCCAAATGGTTACCCCTTTTAAGGCATAAATAACACATTCCGAGTTTCCGAAGTGACGCCTTTCTGTCTGTTACAGACTTCGGGCAAGCTTCGGAAGTATGTTTTTCTTTTTCTGAATCCTCGCAAAATATGCAGCTGTTAATTGAAACCTTTAACACACAGCAGCCGTTGGAATAGAAATTTTATTTATTCTTTTTTCTTTAGGAAAGTGGCTCGAATTATGGTTGTTTATTTTATCTTGAATTTGTAGCATGGATTCGCGGCACTCAATTTCCGTTTTCAAGAACTCTAATAATTCGTTTACATCGAAATTATCTTTCGATTTCCTTTTTCTTTGGAAATCAAGATTCAGTTCATTCGGAATTAATTTTAATAAAAACTGGTGTCAATAACGTGCCATATGTGCCAGAAGTTACATTAAGTGATTTTAAAACTTCTTATCTGTATTTCGATATCATCATACAACTTACGTAATGCAAATATGTTGTTAGCATTCCTAACAGGTTCTAAATTTAACAGTTTTCCCATATGTGCATTTATAATTAAATCTGTTCGACCAAAGCGTGTTTTAAGTAACTCGATTGCGGCAAAATAATTTTCACTTGATAATGCAAAAACCACTAACAGCATTACAAGCAGCACCTGATAAAAATGATATCAAATAATTAAATTTGTCTGTATCTGTTAAATCACTATTCTGATGTATCGCATTGTCAAACTGGTTCCAAAATGATAACCAATTAACAGGATCGCCATTAAATTTATTGATCGATAATTTAGGCAATTTAATTTTTGAATGAGATACAGAAATATTTGAAATATCATTATTCACAATATTACCAATTGTATTCGAAACAGGAATTTCAGGTTTCCTATTCTCTTTTAACATAAATGTTAGTTTTGATTTCATGGAAATTATTTTCTCGGAATAAACTTCACAAGTTTCAAATTCCGATTCATATTCAGTAGCCTCAATTAATTCTTGTATTTGTTTATCTAATTCTTTTAGGCTGTTATATTTTGAATCTAATAAATCAATATTTTCATTAAGAATACACAAATCGTGTTCTGTTTCTTGGAGGTATTCTTTACAATTATTTATCAACTTTGTTGTCATACTCCTAACTACAGTTCGTCTTTTCTTTAATTCTTCTATTTTAGTAGACATGTTTAAATATTTCAGATAGAAAATATTTCAAATTAAAAATCAGTACTCTCAAATCATAAATAAACTTCTCAAATCAAAAGGAGATATTTTTTAAACATTCCTAAATCTTTCACTTCAATATAGTCTACATCGGCGGTCCCTGTTCGGGCGCCAAAAAATTTATATCGTTTCAATTCAGTAAAAAACAGATCATTCAAAATTCTAGATAAGCAAATGAAAAAAGGTTGCTTACCTTTATGATCCGCGTTCTTCGATTCTGGTCCGCCGCTTTTGTAGACTCCGATTTGGTTTCAAACTCATCTAAAATTGGCACTATTTTGTATGAATCACTTTATTTGACATTTGACACAAAAGAGGAAAAAATATCTAAATCATTACACTATCAAAAAACACTTCTAACTACTTAGCATCATTGTTCTACATATCTAACAGCGTCATTAGTCTACTGCGTACACTTATCGTTGCCAGTTCTCAAAAAACAAACTTTCTTTTTCAATTCTCGTCGGTCTGGAGGCTCAACCCGTTCCCCAAAAGCGGAGCGTGCGTCGTTCGCGACATGGACATTTGAGTAGTTAAAAGAAAACTATTGTGAGATATTGTAATACTGCGTGATAATTTGAGAAAATTTAAGCATTTTTGTTGTGATAATAATAAATTTTTGTTCATTTTTCATCGGACTTGTGCATACATTTCATAACGAACCCGTACGCACGCAACATTATTATTAAATAAATATTTATTGAAATGCATCCATAGAAATCTGGTATGTTAAGAGACCTCTACAAGTGGTTAATTGGGTAATTAATAGACCTCTACAAGTGGTTAATTGGGTAACTGTTGAATGCTGGTTATTTGATACAGGTTTGTAAGCAGCCATCGTGATTGCGATGGTCGCGGTTTGACTCTCGTTAATTGGCTAACAGCATGGGTTTCGGTGTTTTCTCCCATTTGTAATTGAATAAATCTAAAATTTTCCTCCATGAAGATATCCCTTCCCTAGCTATTCCTCGCATGTTTTTTTCCTAATAATAAATTACAGTAATGAGAATATTTCTGACTATTCTCGTAATTATGCCTAATCTACAAAGTTTCGAGAAACTAAAATTAATTTAAAATTATTTAAGAGCGAAAATATATCTGAACAGTATTGATTTCATTAAAGACGATATTGCTCAAAAATTAAATTTGGGAGGCTTAGAAATCGAATTCAATAATAATAATAATAATAATAATAATAATAATATCTGAAATGTATTACATTGGCATATATTGTGCAATGCCGATTTAAGGGCAGGGTATGTGGATCCCTGCTCTAGGCTCAAAATAAATTTAAAAATTAATTTAGTAAGTTGTTTTCCTGTTTCAACCACTATTGGCAGAAGCTTTCTGCCGCTGTGGGTGAAAATACCTTCGTCCAACACTACACATTAGTAAGCATACTCCTTATTTTTAATATGCGTATCAAATATAAGTATTAATCAGTTTTGTAAAATTCCATAAATTGTTGTTTAATGCAAACATGATTATTTTATATTCGTCAAACTACGTTCTTGTATTATTCTTTTTAGCGCTTCAAACTTTTGAAATCATGCAAAGATCCGTGTGTTTCCTTTATGTTTGAAAAGTTATTTCATTCGAAAATAGTACAAATGGTGAAAACGGAGAGAAAAACATGTTCACTATTTATTTTAAAGTGTGAAAACGAATTTTTAAAAAATAATTTAATGGGAATACAAATAACACATTATTTAATGGAGATATAAAACATTCTTTACTTTTTTTTATTAGAGGGGGGTGCTGTTATAACGTTTCTTTGGATGTGTTATATTTAATATTCACATTAATTATAGCGCCTGAAACCAGAAACAAACCTTAAAAAAGCGCGTGGGCCATAAACAGATTCTTACTGTCTCTAATGTAATAAATTCATCTGAATTATTATTATTATTATTATTGAATGTGTAGTTTCTACTAAAAATGTGAGTGAAAGTTTACGTGCAGTTGTATTGCGTTGCCAAGGTTACTGAAGTTTTCAAGGTTAAGGCCAGATGGCAAAATATAATACGAATTCAAAGCAAATATTGGCGTGTGGGATGACGTCATAGCATGCGCGAAAGCGGACGCGCATAGACAAGGAGTATGAGCCGAGCTCATCAAATTCTTTGGTAAACGTCATATAATGATGTTAGTATATTAAAGAACCTTGGTATTTGCCAATTGGAATACGAGAAGTACCCTATGAGTAGTTGCTGGTGTCAGGTATTTAGCATTTAACAAAAATTTCCTGTTTCTTTTTGAGTAATAAGATAAAAATATGACCTTTTTCAATGGTGAAATCGATTTTTCTGATAGTTCAGTTATGTTAGATTGTATAAAATTTTATGCGAAATCTGAGGAGTTATGTCTGAATTCAGAGGATTTTCGTGCCTTAACAATGTCTGTTATGACAGACAGTGAAGGTGGATCATACCATGTATCAGCAGAAATGTATGCCGATTTTTTTTTAACATTTGATTCCAATAAAGACGGAAAAATCGACGTAAAAGAATTTGAAACTGTGTGGTACAAATGGATAAAACCATTACTGAATCCGGTATCAGCGTTGTTGATCATAGATGTTCAAAACGATTTCATTGATGGTGCACTTGCGCTAAAAAATTGTCCAGCTAAGCAGGACAGCGTAGATGTGGTTCCTATAATTAATGATTTATTAGAAAGTGTTAAATTTGATCTTGTAGTTTATTCCTTGGACTGTCATCCGGAGAAACATATATCATTCTTTGAATGTCTGAATTACGATAAGTTAAGCGAAGCATACAAAACGAAAGAATTTTCTCTTTATGATACAGTAGTATTTGAAAAACCATCAAAAATGGAACAAAAATTATGGCCGCGGCATTGCGTGAAAGGCACATGGGGAGCGCAACTTCATTCAGATTTAAAGATTGCGCCAGATTCCTGCTTTATTTATAAAGGCGTGAATCCTGATGTAGATAGCTATTCAGCTTTTCAAGATAATATGAAGTTTAATCAGACTGCATTAGATAGTGAGCTTAAAAAGATAGGCGTCACACATGTTTTCATTTGCGGTGTTGCTCTAGATTATTGTGTTGCTTTCACAGCGTTTGATGCATTAGAATATGGATACGCTACTGTAGTGATAGAAGATGCATCACGTGGAACAAATAATGATGTTATGCAGAAAATGAAACAGAAACTAGAATCTAAATTATGTGTACTAACGAAAGTTAATGAAGTAGATGATTTTGTGAAAGGAAAAAACATCAGACCTGAATTCGGTTGTATTTTCCGAAATAATATTAAATAATAATTTAAAAAAACTGAAGATTAAACTATTGTGATAAATATGTACATAGAAAACTACAATATGGATTTAAAATTTAGAGAAGCTTTCTTCTGTTGTTGTGGAGCAATTTTTTCCCGAATATTCTTTTGAGATTTTGAAGTCAAGAAATGTCTGTCTGTGTGATAATCAGTCAATACTTAAATAACAACCTGCCGTAGTTGTACAGATGGAAAGTATTATTAATATAACATTCCATACATTACAGTTTATCAAGTAGGTGTTCAGAATTTAATGTTATCTATCAGACTGTAATGAAAACTGCATTTTAATAGAAGGTAACATGATTAACTGTTACTAATTATTATTGTTTGAATATTACTTCTATTTTATTGGTTACTTGCCTGTTATAATTAATGTTATTTTTATTATTTAAAATAATCGCTACAGTATTAGTTTTAGTGAAAGAGAGCCGAGCTACTTTTAAAACATACATAACATATATTTTAAAACAAACTTTAAGTTCTTTTTTGCCTTCTTGCATCTTAAAATATATAAAGAAGTATGTAAATTTTTATGCACATCCTTAGATTTACATGTAGAGAATATGAATATGTTATAAAAATGGCAGTCTGTGTTAAAATTTTTATTTTTTAAATGCAATGTATGAAATATATCTAATAATAGAATATGTAGATAAACTCGGTATTGAGTAAAAAGTAAGATTTACTGTATAAAAGGATAAATTTATTTTTCAGTCTATTCGTTTGTACTAATTTTCGATTTAAATGATATATTTGACAAACTCAAATTATAAGAACATGGATTTCTATATATAATTCAGAATTGAGCTGGTATTCATTTCAGACATTAGTGTATTGTAATTTCTAGTATTTTGTGCTTATGAACCATCTAAGTGGCATGGCTTTTTGAATCTGTTGATGAAGATTTACATTTAAAGATTTCAACCATATAAAAGTAAACGTTCATTCAGTTTACACTTAGATAAAAGATTTAGTTAACATGTCAGCAATATGTGCACCTGAACAGATGAACTCAGTTGTGATATGTGCTTCTACACATTCATAAATAAGTTTTTAGTTTAATATCTAGATGTTTCATTCTACCTGAATCATTTAAGTCTGCACTTGATACATGATTGATTATCCTCAAACATTGCAATACTGTTAATATCAGTGATTTCATTAACTGCTGATTTCAACCATAATAAATCTTGAACAGCTTTTGATAAGGCAATAATCTCAGCTTCCTTTGAGGATAAAACTACACAGCTTTGTTTTCTACAACAGTGTAGTAAAGGACAGTTATCTAACATAACATAGCCAGAAACTGATTTTCTATCATTAGGTTTTGTCCCCTGATCTACATCTATATACATATTTAAGTGAGAAATCTAATGTTTTGAATATATTAATTTGACATTACCTTTCAGATTCAGACCTTCTGTACATTTTTGATAGCAAAGAATTAAGAGCACATTATGTAAGATAAGTACAATAATGAATGAACCAACCAGTTATTGAATTATAAGAATTCATCATGAGTACAAACATCATATGTTACAACAATGGAGGTAAACCTAACATTTACCTCCATTGTTGTAACATAAAAAATAGCTTTAATTTAGCCCATTATATTATTATTCAATAAGTAACTAGATTAGCCAACTGGATAATAAAATGAGTAAAATTGACTAGATTACTTATTTTTACAAAATTCCCTCAAATATTATAAAGCTATATTGTATTCATTCTGTTAATTTTTTGTTTTAATTCATTAATTATTTTCATTTCTGAAAAATAACTTTGCATGTGCTTTTCTGCTTTGTAAGATATAATTCCCTTTTTACTTAATTTCAGATAAGCATATTTGGGTCATATAGATTTCATTCTCAAAGAGAATGTATTTGGAGAATTAAGTAATTTTATGTGCTTAATCTTGTGATATTTCTTATTTATACATTTTACTTTGGTAAGATCTGGAATAGGAAAAATTCATCTTGTTACATTACCTATGTAAAATAAAATCAGCAATAGTCTTCTATTTTCATGACTGGATTCAGAAATGTATCCATGTAAGTATGTGTGCATATATATGTGTATGCACATACAAACATATAAACAGGCACACATGAATACATTCATGCATAACAGAATCTGGTCCTGATAACAGAAGAGTACTAAATCAGCTTTCAATTTCATTTTACAATACTAAACACAGAAAGTAGTTTTCTTAATTAACATATGCGGATATAGATTATATTTAAATGCGTGTATATAACAGAATGCAAAAGGAACTCAGAATGATCAAAGTTTAGGTGCTAGTTTATTTTAAAAGAAATAAAAAAAAAAAAGGTGGCTTAAGTATACCAGATTTCATATAATAACAAAACAGTGGGTGTTCCGTGATCCTCACGTTCTCTCTTATTTGATAATTACATGAAATATTAAGAATTTTAATTAATTTTTGATCAACTGTCCTTTTAAGTATAGTTAGTAATTCATCTGAGATAAATCTTTTTTTTTTTTTCGCTTAAAAGAATTAAGTAAAATTTTATTAAAAGATCATGTATATTTACTTTCTTATTGTGGGTTTTAAAATGAAGCAAGAAGATAATAATAATCCACAGATCTTTTTACCCAAGAACTATAATCTTCTAAGAAATAAACTTAATGTGCAACAAAACCAAACAAAGAGATTTCTTTCAAAAGAATAGTTTTGTTTCCAGGTGTAGCTTTTATGATTTCAGTTACTAGTTTCAAATTGTCATTGCTGTTTCTGTTGTGCAAATACACGACAGTGTTAGCACACTACAGAATTTTACATTCAGGAATGTTTTATCAAATTTCATGACTATTATTATCTAACTTTTCAAACTCATTTAAATTTACTGTCATTTTGTGTATGAACAATAGGTATTTACTTATTTTTATGGGCCTTTTTTCTATAAACAGTATTCAGATTATTGATTAATCAACACTTCATACCATCTTCAAATGGCTGCAGTCCTAAGATAATTTCTAGTTTGCTTCTGATGAGAAGTGCACCAAGTAAACCACATTTGTTGTGTTTTATTTTCATGTAAATATCAACAAGTTTACAATCACACGTATTTCTCTTGTCACAAGAAGAGCTCTGAATATTTCACATGTAACATATTGTCTTTTTAAATAACATGGTTAAAGATGTTTGGTTTGCTGAGAAATGAAGAAGATGATATAGCTTTTTTATCTCACATTCAAATATGCAAAAATGACCCTTGAATAAAACTGTGGCTGTAGTGGACAATTGGGTGCTCCTTCGATTAGCGACAAATTTTGTTAAGTTTTGGTGATGAAACCCCATTTCTGGTTACCATGTTAGTTTTAACTTTGTTTTACCTTCCTGGGTTATAGTAGATTTAAGGGGTGCCCCCTTGGATTTATCACCAAATTGTTGTTTCATTTATGGTAACCTGAGTAGTTGAATGCTATGGAAGCTCTGTTATGATGTGATTGGTTATGTAATTGTGGTTAATTTGAATGATGTCATGTATTACTTGTTATTATTTTCAAACTTAAGTTTTGTTTACTATTTCAGTTTTAAGACACAATAACACGCTGAATAAATACTAATTCAGAAGTCAAACAACAAAAATCAGCTAGCTGAGGATGGTGGTTCGGTAAAACCATCGAAAATAGTCCTGTGAAAATATAACGCTGATTTTTGTTGTTTGACTTCTGAATTAGTATTTCAGTTTTGTTCTGTAATTGAAGTTCTTAATTTTTTTTTTTTTTTTTTTTTTTTTTTGTCCTTTAGTTGTTTAAAGTTGGTTGGTTGCTTTAAAAGTTTTTAGTTGAAGTTGTTTAGTTTCTAATTTGAGTTTAGAGACTTAAGTTTATTTGGTTTTGTACTTTTGTTTTGATCCTTAAGGTTGTTTAACTTTTAACTTTAATTATTTTAAAGTTTTGTTTGCTGCACTTTTAGTGTATTAATTTTTTTTTTTTTTTTAACTTAAAATTTTTACCCCTCTTTCTTTAAAGTTGTCGAATATAAATTTTCTGACTGGTGGTAAGGTAAATCGATAGTAATTGAAATTCAATCTGGTTAATGAGTGTGTATACTTAAAATGCTACTGAAGAAACAATTTATATAGTGCTGACATTTTTAATGAATTATATTGTTATGTAATAGTTTAATTGTTAATGCCCCAAATTTGTTTGTGTTGAATAACATTTCACTGGTTTTGGAAATTTTCACATCCCAAACGTCGGCTTGGAATTCATTCTCAGAATCCCTTATCAGAGGATTACTGCACTCCGAAATTGTTTCGCCCAAGCAAAAAACGCATGTAAGGTTTCCACCTCATGTAGGATGACCTGTTGGATGTTTACACCATCTGGAGTTTTACTTAAACAGGACCCTGGTTGCTGTGACATCTCTAGCAGGGAAAGGTTCTACAGCGAATTTGTGAGGAGGGGGAAATAATCGTTGGATAGGAAGCTCTACATGGTCGAGTTGCACCTCGATTCGAGGCTAATGCCCCCCACCCCTTTGTTTTCATCTGCGGAGAGTGTTGACCCAGCGGAATGGCCTGGGAGGCCAAATGGTTGAACTGCGCTGACTGGCTCTTCTAATAGTCGAAAAACCCCTTCCCGTGAAGATTTCTCTGTATGGGTTGCTGGACTTGGCTGGTTGCTGATCACCTTCTTCGCCAAATTTTTAAAAAACGCGCCAGCTATTAAAGTGGCTGTGCAGTGTTTTTCGAGAGAGGAGAGACAAAGAAAAGATTTTCGATTACACCTTTTTTTCTGACGAAGCCAGGGAGACGGAGAAAGAAATTTTCTCGAAGGAAAAAAAAAACAAGAGATGACTAGATACAGAGCAGAGACCAGCAGTCCGGAGTCCCTGGTGTGATGAACGATTAAACAACCTACACAGAAGGAAGGCGTACTGAATCAAGAATTCCTGAGTATTTCCTGACTTGGCCAGTGTTTTTGAGAAGACCTGAGTCCTACCGGTTGGAAGCGGCTGGGGGCTGGAAAGCCTGGCCTCCGAAAGAGTTGCCCCCTAACTTTTCTCATTTTGTCTTTTTTCTTGCAGATGCATCTTCCGACATATAATTATTATTCCCTGCTTCGTGACAGTTATCTTGTCTGGGCTTTTATGCCTATATCAAGTATCCAAATTCTGTATGATGCCTCCCAACTGGAAACGCGAAATGTTAAACATGTAAAGAAGGTATGTTAATCCTTTCCGTTGTTTCTTCAGATATTTAGATGACCGCTCAACACCAAATTAAAATGTAACTGTACTCTTACTAGTATCTCCATAAATA